CCTAATCATCACAGAGAGCTTTAACTACAGAGACACCCCTCCCCGAGCGATCATTGGGATGATTTTCTGAAAACATTAGAAATCTGGGTTCTCGTCAGAAGAACTCAGAGCAATTTCCAAAGCCCTAAGCACTTCCAAATGCATTTTAGGAAATTATCTCAATAAGTTGACTCTGTATTTCTCACATTACGTAAGTGAAAGGCATGAGTCCCCGGTGGGGCACGCTGTGATAAAATGTTCCTTCCCCACCTCACAGAAGGGGACGGGGGCTGAGAGAGGCTAGGTGCGGGGAGTCATGAGCCCCAAAAATCCTGGGGAAACTATTTGGGGAAAGTGGAACAGGCTGGCCGCTCTATTGGCTCAGAGCAGGCCATCTTACCCTTAAGTTTCCCTCTGAGTCCCGCATTTATTTTTACCCTGACCAGAAGCAAAACCTCGTTGGATCCTTTGAAGGAAAATGAATCTGCCAGTCGTGTAAGTGGCTGGATTTGGCATTCATGAAAGAAGTGAGAAGGAGCCGTTCTTGCAGCCGCACTGGAGGATGGCACTGGCAGTCCGTTCACGGACTCTGGGCTGTCTGCCCTAGTTCCCAGAAAGAAAACGTGTTGAGCTTCCCCCCGGGAAGATGCTTCCCCTGCTCCGTTCCTCCCAAGCCCTCCCTTCCGCTTCCCCTGGCTTCCAGGGTCCCACCCAGTGTCCTGGACTGAATGACCGCTCGTTACTCCCAAAGAGAATGTCTTGTTCCCTTCTATGCCTGGGAATAGAAATGTATCCGTGCATCCTAAATCAGTGTGCAGACATGTGTGAGGGGTTGGTGCGCTGTGAACCGATACACAGTTTGCTGACAGCTGGAGTTGTGTCTTTCTTCCGCTGAAAATGATCTGCTTTGCACTTGTACTCATTCTTCTTGCCAGTTCCCAGACATTTTCCCTATATCTCTGTGCCCATTGCCATATTCTCTATTTTTATTATCTTTAAGTAGTGGTATAAAAGAGTTGCCATTTAATAAGGCAGTTTATGAGTTCAACACATCTTGATCAGTGTCACCCCTGTCAACATTCTCACCCCTTTGCTTCGTTTTCTTAACTTTGTAGGATAGACATTAGATTCTTGTCTGCATTTTCTCTCTTTTTCTCTTCATAAGTCTACCTTTTCCCCTTGACCCTACTCACCCCTTTCGTGTCCCCATTTTCTATTATTTATTTTGTTGAATTTGACTTTGTCTTTCTAAGGAATTACATTATTTCAGTTCTCCCTTGAATCTACCATATTTCAGTTAATACATTTCTATACACTTGCACACCACCCAAAGTATTTCCTTACAATTTTATAAGCTAAATCTGGCCTCCACTTATAAGGGGAAATATGTATCTTTTATAGCTCTGGACTTGACTTACTCCACTTAACATCATTTTTCAGGTCTTTCCATTTTTTTAAATAAATGGCATAATATTCTTTCTTACAGATGAGTAAAATTCCACTGTATTTATATACCACATTTTCTTAATCCATTCATCCACTGAGGTTCATCTGGGCTGATTCTATATCTTGGCTATGGTGAATAGTGCTGCAGTAAACATGGTTGTGCTGGTAGCTTTAGTGTGGCTTTGTTGGTGTTCTATTGTACAAATGCCCAGGAGTGGGATTACTGGATCATAGGGAAGATCTATGTTGTTGAGGAACCTCCATACTGCTTTCCAGAGTGATTGAACCAGTTTATATCCCCACCAACAGTGTAGCAGCATTCCCTTTGGACTAAGTCCTTGCCCGCATCTGTTGTTTGTTTTTGTCAATAATGACCATGCTAGCTGGGGTGAGGTGGAATTTCAGTGTTGTTTTGATTTGCATTTTTTTTTAGCCAGAGATGTTGAGATTTCTTCATGTGTCTATTGGACATTTTTGCTTCTTTTCTTGAGAATATATTTTTATTAGGAAATCAAATCCAGAAGACTTCAGAGAACTGTTGAGGATTTCTGAGAAATCTCACTCTGACCACAGTGCACATTTAATTTCTGGAAGTCACAAGAAGAATCTAATCTGAACTGCACTGATTCTGTAAGAGTTATAGGGCTCAGAAATATCCTACTGATTTCATTTCCTTCTAGGCTAAAGTATTTTTCTAGGATATACTTATTAAAATATTGCATAAGTGTTTTCCTTTATGTGTTATTGGTCATTTTATTGAGATAAAGTTGATGTTGAGACAGGGGTTATGGTGGCACATCTGCCCAGCCTCTTGGCATAATGGCCATCACAGCCCAAGGTCACCTCTGGGGCCATTGCTCTTCTTTCCATCCTAGAGTTTGTTTGAGTGCTTTGCCTCTAATTTTCATCAGAATCACTGAAGTTTGGTTAAATCCACTCTTGTGCACTGGTTTGTTTAGTAAGAACCTTCCTTTAGGTCACTTGCATTGGAGGAACAGTTGCATTTGTAGTATCATCTTTATGTAGAAGGAAGGCCATAAAGTCAGCTCCCCCTGCCCGTCACTGTGCCAGGGTCAATGGAGGAAGAGCTCAGGGCTCCAAGGATCCTGAGGCCTCTCGTTGAAAACCCTTCGCTTCCCTCGCCCCGCTCACCACCGTCCTCTCACATGCCCAGGATGTATCTGCCACCTCACAAGGCCAAGCCCAAAAGCCTGGGCACATACACACCTCCATTGTGTAGCATTTCAGTCTACACGGTTTGACAGTAGCCCTAGAGGATGCCTTATGCCCTCACCTGATTCCACAGGAGGCACTGCAGAAGCCAGGTCTTCATGAAACTTCCGCTTCCCTCCATTGCGAGGTATAGCTTGCAAAGTTCCTCTTGCCTGGCAGCAGTGCAAATTCTTTCCTATCACGCTTGGGCTAGGTGTAAGAATGGGTTTTATATTTTTAATTGGGTAGGAAAAAATTACCTTAAAAAAGCTATATGAAATTCAGATTTGAGTGTCCACAAATAAAGTGTTACTCGAGCATCGCCAGACATCTTGTGTCTGCCTTTGAACAATGGCAAAACTCACCATTTTTAATCCATACAAAAAACATATTTACTACCTGGTCTTTAAAGAAAAAGTTTGTTAACTGACACAAAGCTAGTATTTTGTGGGGGTACACATGGGGTAAAGAGGATATTAGTTGGGGCTGGGAAGGTGGCTCAGTGGTAGAGCGCTTGCCTTGCATGCCTGAGGCCCTGGGTTCGATTCCTCAGCACCACATAAGCAAAAAGAAAAAAGCCAGAAGTGGTGCTGTGGCTCAAGTGGTAGAGCGCTAGCCTTGAGCTGAAGAGCTGAGGGACAGCGCCCAGGCCCAGAGTTCAGGCCCCATGACCTTACCACCCCCCCCAAAAAAAGAGGATATTAGTTTCCGATCATGATAAATGTTGGTACGCATCTGCAAATAGTAGGGCCTAGTGTTCACAACCAGAACAATTAAAAACATTCAGAAAGTGCCTATTTTCCAAGCAACCATCACCTAGACCTAGATTTCAGTTATAACAAGTTCAAGAAGAAAGTGAACATGAGCTGGAGAGACTCTGGTATTTTTTTGTAGCTCCAGAATTCAATTTTCTTTTGGACATTCTCGGAACAGCCAAAGAGGGACATGACCTATTGAGTGTGTAAATCACCTGGAAGGAAGCGGCGATGCAGTATGCGTCCGGGTCAGCTGGATGTGGCGGACACCGCTCGCTCACTGCTCCACAAGCCAGGCCCCGGGGGGCGTGCAGCTCCCTCACAGGCCACAGCCATTTCTTACAGTCCGGGTTTGCTCTTGACTCGGAACGGATCCTGCACATTTTCAAAACGCGACCCTGGAGACTGAGCAGCCCAGAGTCAGGAAGCTGAGCTGCCTGTCACTGGCTGTTGCGTGGAATAACTGGGGCATGTTCCACGTGACCCATCGGTTTCTAGCAGATCCTGAGTTTAAGAATTAGAAACCCAGCCTGAGTAGGAAGAAAAGGCCACCGAGATCATGTGGTCCACCAGGTTCCTACCAATGATTTACCTACTTGATAAAATGCTCACAGGTCCCTGTTACCTCAAAATCCCTCTTGAAGATAGGTTTGGCCGCATTCTTTTAGTATATACGCCCTGTGTGAATTCGAAAGAGGCCTTCGGTAGTTTTCCATGCACATCTGCATAACATCTTTCAGCTTATAGTGTAGAAACTGCCTGTCATGTCTACTGGTCTTACAGCCCTGGATTCAACCAGCCAGACATCGGTGGCTCTCCATCTCTCTGGCCAGGCCCTCTATATCTGTGCACTCCTGGAGCACAGGCTTTTTATTATCTGCGAGAACTCTTCTTCCTCAGGAATGTCACCAACAAGAAGTAAAACACGCAATCATTTCTGACAATTAAACTGAATGTGGTCGAGTGGACTGCGTATTTCCAAACAGCATAACTGAGATTGATTGTATCTTCACTTTAAAAGATTAATACACTACTTTAGTAAAGCATAATTTTATTCCATTTCAAATCTCTTTGACAGTTGCTGTCATCAATCTCAGAGAAGCTGTTCTCTTTACCCTCCTGGGAAGACCCAGGTGGTGAATTCTGCAGAGAGATTGCTGGAAATCTGGCATGCTCTCAAGCATGATAAACAGTTTGCTTAAGTGTGCTTCAAATTAATAGAATCACTAAGTGCCCACATAAAGAAAGGAAGATTTTTATTATTTGCCTTTTTCTTTTCCTTTTATGAAATGGTTCATGTTGATTAAAGTCCTAGGAGATGGGGGAGGGCCAGTAAGAGATCAAAATAATTCCTTTTCCTGTGTCCACTATTAATAAATATGCAAAATGTCAAGTCCTTTTGAAAGCCTCCGTGCTAGCAAGGACACACAACGCATTTGTGTTTGGGTGAGGATGAAATTACCCAAAGCGTTTGAAGGCATCTGACATACTACTTCTGTTTTAAGCCCCTCGAAGTGATGAAGGTCGCTAATTCAATCTTCCCACAGGTTTGATGCTGGAAATTTGCTGATTTACAAGAGAGATTTTTCTCTCCTCTCTCTTCTCCAGGCTGACAGGCATGAACCTCCCTTCCCCAGTGATCAGCAGCAAGAACTGGCTACGGCTTCACTTCACCTCTGACAGCAACCATCGGCGGAAGGGCTTCAACGCACAGTTCCAAGGTAGGTGTGCCCACACGGGCACCAGCAGAACGGAATCCTGCCAAAAATGGAAAGAGAAACACAAGTAAGCTGGAAAATGACTTCTGTCTGTCTTACGGACAGTTAACTGTGGAAGGTAGACAGGTAGCATATGGCGCCTCATTAGCAAATCTTCCACATTGTGACTGTGTGCGGTCGAGTTATGGTAACGCTTTTAATGGCCATGCTCCCAACCAGTAAGCACCCACAGTGTTCTGTGTTCGGTATGCCTTGTTCACGTGCTGGGAATGGGCAGTGGAGGAGTTGCAGGGAGAGATATAAAGGCATCATGTTGCCTTCAGTTCTAAAACTTCTTCACACTGTAACATCTCTGCTATCGGAGTTAGTAACTCGCACACAGTGCCTCTCTTTTTCTTAAGTACTGTTATTATAAAGGTGAGGTACAGAGGGGTTACAGCGACGTAAGTCAGGTAGTGAGTACATTTCTTTTTTGAACAATGTCAACCCCGTAGTGACTCTTAAAGAGTTCTGCAGCTGAACACATGGAGTCTGCGATTGCCAACAGGTCGCACGACTGTAAGCAACCCTGAGGGTATGGTGAGCAAGAGGAAACATTGTAGGGTGGCCTGAGCCCCTTGCCAGAACCTTCCCCAGCTGTCAAAGACCACCTCCCAAGCCCATTACGCCCGGAGGCGCATCCTGACTCTGCAGGGCAGAGCAGGCTGTCTGTGGGGGGAGGGGCTCTCAGACAGCACCCACCGCTCTTCTAAATCTCCTTTCTGGGAGGCACAAATCCTCATGATGTGTTTATCCCAACGGAACACGTGGAGATGGGGAAACCTACTGCAGATATTTTCAACACAACCTCAAAGAACAAACATGCAGCCAGTGTTCCAGACAACCAGTAAGACAACCACAGTAATAACTGTAGTGGGCATGTGAGTTGCTTTTACTGTGTGGTGTTGTCCCCACTTTGTAAACATGCTTCAACCAAAACCCTCGTTGGTTTTTGTCATAGAGAAAGGGGACTCGCGTTTCCAGGGTCTGAGCTCCTCCCCTCTGTTCTCATAGTCTCTGGAGGGCCACGGCCACTTCCCGACCATTTGCACAAGCAGGTGAGCATGGCATGTTCCTGCACGCGTGCAGGGCCTGTCACTGCTCCTCAGTCACATGACGGTGGTGAACTGGGGTCCCTGTGAGACAGTGGGGCCCCTCATCTGGAACAGGCTTTTCTTCCTTGAGACCCTACCTTGTCTCCAGAGAAAATGTCTGACATTGCGAAAGTACAGAAGACTTCCTTTCTAGCTCGATTCTCTTCTTGTCAAGTAAACAGTCACAACCATAAAGGGTTCCTTCTTCTCGTTCTCTTTTTTTATGTTTTTGGCTGCCGCCTCCCAATTCCTTTTTCTCTGAAATAACCGGCTTCTCCTTCTCATTCGAGTCATGTCAAAGACAGGCACAAGGCCAACTGACAGGGAAAAGTGCTCAGCGCAGTTCTTCCTAAAACACAGCCTCTCTTAGAACAGTCCAGTCCAGGAAGTGGCTAGCACAGCCGGGACGCAAGGCGTGGCCGTGTCTGCCGCGTCGTCCGGTTCTCCTGGCAGGAGAGCTTCACGTGGACACTTCGCTTCCTCAGTCTGCCCACAGCGGAGCCCTTTGCTTTATGTGTTGCCTCCATCATTAATTATGATTAAATACGGGCCTTGTTAGGAGAATCCATCATCTGAACACATTGGATGCCTACATGATGAATTTTTGAAGGATATGAATCTTCAGCCATGAAGCCTTTTCATTCCTAAATGGGCATGCAAGTGAAGGTTGCTAGGTTTACACAGGTTCACCTGACTAGTTATAAAGCAGATTTCACAAGAAAAAAATTGAATGATTTCCTTCACGAATAAATCATTCTTTCAGGAAGTGTTTGTAGTAATGTTCCAGTCTCAGCGGGAAGCACCCTGCCTCCTTAATCCAGGGCAGCCCAGACAGCACCTTTAAAACCCATGTTGACACAAATAATTAGCTTGCTTTTTAGGTTATAGTTCCCTATCAGTATTGATTTTTCTTTTCATTTAAAACGAGGACCTTTATACAAAAGGAAGACTTTCCTGTTATTAAAAATGCATTTGGGTAATTGAAAGCTTCAATTCCCAGATTGATTTGAATTGGGATGAAATGTCTGCCTTCCCTGGTGTCTGGCATCCCTGGATCCTGGGATGGAGAAGCTCCCCTCGGGTTCCAACCCCGGGAGCCCAGGCCCTGACCCCTCTCTCTGCCAGCCAGCCTGACACCTCCAAAGTGTTCCCTTGACCTTGGTAGAAGACCTGAAGGACATCACACTTTCAGACTCCTCCCAGGGGCCGCTCAATCAATCAATCAATCAATCAATCCTGGGGAAGGCTCGGGGGCTTTGCCTACAGGATACCCGCTTGACCCCCATTACCAAGGGCGGCTGGCAGTACCATGGACACACGTAGCTTATTCTTCAGTCAAAATAAACCATATGTCAGTGCTGGTGGCTCATGCCTGTCATCCTAGCTACTCAGAAGGCTGACATCTGTGGATTGTGGTTCAAAGCCAGCTGAGGCAGGAAAGTCTGTGAAACTCTTATCTCCAAGTAACCACTCAGAAAAATTGAAGTGGCACTGTGGCTCAAATGGTAGAGCACTAGCCTTGAGCTGAAGAGCTGAGGGACAGCGCCCAGGCCCAGAGTTCAAGCCCCACAACCGACAAAAATAAATAAATAAACCATAGCAGTGTTCTCTAAATCCTTCCTAAAATCACTAAACCTCTGCAAGAAAAAAAGTGTTTACACCTAACGAATTCTCTGAAATCAGATGCACATAAGCTCTCTTCCCCATCTACTTCCATCTCTCTCTAAACAGGAGATTTAGGCCAAGTCCCAACTCCAATATTTTTCATATTAAACATCATAAAATCCGTCTGTGTGTTCCAAGCTATTGGCTCCCGGCCTCTATTTTTATTAAACAGCTATTTTGAGCCATGCCTTTCCTGCACTGTGGCCTCTGTGCCTGGCTTATAAAATGAATAATGTCTGCCTCGTGGACTCACGGGAAATGTGGAAGGGGTGGCGACCTGGGCCAAGCCCTTCCGGGACCAGGTGTGGGGCCCTTCCCTCCCGGGGTCACTGACCCTAGCAGCCTGACAGGCCGGGTTTAAGCTCTCAGGATTTCCCACACACAGCTCTTGCGCAGTGAGTCCCATGTCTCTGAGGTCCTCTGAGGGCACTGGCCTTCCCTGCACCAGGTCTGCGCCCATGGGAGTGAATACAGGTAGAGCCAGAGGATGTGTGCCGAGGACCTGCACGCACACCTGGGGACCGTGGATTCACCACCGCCAGTCACAGCACTACCTGCATGCACACCTGGAGACCGTGGGTTCACCACCGCCAGTCACAGCACTACCTGCACGCACACCTGGGGACCGTGGGTTCACCACCGCCAGTCACAGCACTATCTGCACGCACACCTGGAGACCGTGGGTTCACCACCGCCAGTCACAGCGTGACCTGCACGCACACCTGGAGACCATGGATTCACCACCGCCAGTCACAGTGCTACGTGCACGCACACCTGGAGACTGTGGGTTCACCACCGCCAGTCACAGTGCGACCTGCACGCACACCTGGGGACCGTGGATTCACCACCGCCAGTCACAGCACTACCTGCACGCACACCTGGAGACCGTGGGTTCACCACTGCCAGTCACAGCACTACCTGCGCACACCTGGAGACCGTGGATTCACCACCGCCAGTCACAGCTCTACCTGCACGCACACCTGGAGACCGTGGGCTCACCACCGCCATTCACAGCACTACCTGCACGCACACCTGGAGACCGTGGATTCACCACTGCCAGTCACAGTGCTACGTGCACGCACACCTGGAGACTGTGGGTTCACCACCGCCAGTCACAGCGCTACCTGCACGCACACCTGGAGACCGTGGATTCACCACCGCCAGTAACAGTGCTACGTGCACGCACACTTGGAGACCATGGATTCACCACCGCCAGTCACAGTGCGACGTGCACTCACACCAGCAAGACTCAACAAAGTACTCCTTGCACTCACACCAGCAAGACTCAACAAAAATGAAGAAACAAGCGACCTCTGCAGGCGCCAGTGTGAACAGTCCTCCCAGACACGGGACTGTGGAGGAAGCAGACACGGCAGGCCCTCCATGCCTGTGAGGGGCACCGGACACGGTTGCAGCTGCACGTTGTCAGTAGACGGCTGTCCTCTGCTCCAGCTGTGTGCGGTGCAGTGAAGGCAGTGCTCCCTGAACCACCCACTGCCCCACCCCAAAGGACCTCTGCTCCTTATTTTCCTTATTTTCTTGCAAATGGGGCCAGGCAAGATGACGCACACATGGTGTGCACACTGACTGTGTCAGTGGAGAGAGCCCCGCCCCACCAGAGGGAGGGCCCCTGGACAGCAGAGGGGCCAGGCCCAGCCTCTGACCCCTCGCAATGCGGCCCGATCTCCCGCTGCCCAAATGGCTTCCAGCCACCCCACTGCCCCATCTCAGTGAGATTGTCTCTGGATTTGTCACCCAAGAAGGGAAGAGGGTGGAGAGGATGATCGGGAAGGGCCGTCCTGAAGGGAAGGCCTGCGCTCAGAGCCAGATGGTTGGTGAAGGTCAAGTTCAAGGGAAGGGCAGGTGGGGACAGGGCAAGCACAGCTCAGAGCCAGTGAGGAGGAGGAAGGTTCTAGGTCCTCATGGGAATCCAGTGAGGAGAAGGAACGTTCTAGGTCCCCCCTGGAGACCTAGCAAGGAAGAGGAAGGTTCTAGGTCCTCAGGGGACCCAGTGAGGAGGAAGAAGGTTCTGGGTCTTTATGGGTACCCAGCGAGGAGGAGGAAGGTTCTAGGTCCCCATGGGAACCCAGTGAGGGCTGACTGCATTTATTTGCAACGCAGGGCCGGGCTTCAGAAGGAGAGTGTGAGGTGTGTGATTTCCACGTGGAGCTCAGCGTTTGAACCAGCATACAGCCAGAGCCAACC